GATCACTAAACTCCGCCATTGTCATTAGCAAGAAAACACCAACAACTCTCCTGGAAACAACGATTTCTTCACCTGTCTTGATATGTTTCACAACAACACCATTCTCAGGAACCAAACCATTAATCTTCTTTCTTTTCTTCTCCTCCTTTTCTTTCTCCTCATCTACTTCCTCTGCTTGGAACCTTTCGTTCTTCTCCTCTAACTCCTTCACCTCCAAAGCACCAAGCTTTGTCTCCAATTCCTTCATTCTCTTCTCATTCTCCTCCTTAACAGTCCTTAAACCAGCGACCTCTTTCTCCAATTCCTCAATTCCATGACCTTTCTGTGAAAACTCAGAACGGAGCTTCTTTGCCTCCGCCGTAGCCTTGATCAGTTCATGCTGCAACCGTGCAACTTCAGTCTCTAACTCCGAAGCTCTCAAAGCTATGGTTTCAAGAACCTTCCTCTCCTCATCGGACTTGTCAGTCTCTCGCTTCATCTCACCCATCTTACGTCTGGCCTTGGATTGGGCTCCTCTCAGCTCCTCGATTTTACGACTGATTTCATCGTTATCTTTGGCCAGTTCCTGATTCAGTTCCGTGGACTTGGGAAGATCGTCGCCGTCGTCATCATCTGGTATCGCTTTCAGCCGCCCCATCATGACTGATCTCATGATAACCTTGTAGAGCCTATTTTTGTACCTTTTTGCTTTAACCAAGAGCTTTCCGTTTCGGTCATACAGAGTCAAGTAATCTTCTCTCATCCTCACATCGCAGCCCGACTCAGTAGCTTGACCGAGACTCACAATATTGCTTCTCAAGTTCGGTATGTAATATACATCGTGTAAAGCTCTTCTCTCACCATTTTTTGCTACAAACACAATCGAACCTTTTCCTTTGACGTCAATCAGAGAATCATCACCAAACCTCACCTTTCCTGTGACTGACTCATCAAGCTTAGAGAAATAAGCTAAGATTCCCGTCATATGGTTGCTAGCTCCATTATCCAAATACCACACATTCTCAATATCAGAACTTGTTTCAAATTTATTTGGAACTACATTCCTTTCATTCAAGTATACAACTTCGTGTACCATTAGTGCGTCGGCCTCTTGTGTGTCGTCGTTCTTGTTCTCTTGCGTTTCTTGGAGTTTAAGCAACCTGTCAGGGCAGTCCGATGCGTAATGTCCCAATTTGTCACACCTATAGCAAGTTATCTTGCTCGCGTCTTTGTATCCTCCATTATTCTGTTGGTAATCATTACCTTGCGAGTAACCAGAGCGACCTCTACCTCTTCCTCTTCTGCCACCTCTACCTCTATTTGCATACCAATTGTTTTGAAACGTTTGTGTTTCTGAATTAGCATACATGAGCTTCCCTTGATCTTCTTGTTTGTCTTCTTCATCACAAATTCTCTCCTCATAAGTTTTTAATCTACCAACAATATCCTCAAAGCTAGTTGTGTTTAGGTAGAGAACTTGTTCAAGTGCAGCAATTATGTGTATGTATCTCTTTCGTGGTAAACCGTTGAGGAACTTCTTTACAAGCTTTGGATTTTCGATATCACATCCAAGAGCTGCTGACTTTGTAGACAATTCAGAGAGCCTTCCCGCAAAGTCATCAATTTTCTCTGTTTCTCTCATCTTCATCCTCTCAAATTCTCCCATCAACATTTGTAATCTTGCGTCTTTCACCCTATCAGCTCCTAGATGTCTCGCCTTAATCGCATCCCATATCTTCTTGGTAGTATCTAGTTTCCCGACTTGTAGCGTTAAAGCTTCGGGAATAGATTGAAGAAGAAGGGTGCTTGCCATGTTGTTCTTGTCGACATTCGCTGATCCGGGTTCAATAGCATCCCAGACTTTCTGAACCTTGAGCGCCATCGTCATACGTATGGTCCAGAACGTATAGTTGGTAGAGCTTAGCATCGGACATTGGATGGACGAGGAGCCACCTCCTTCTTTGTTGTTAGCTACCGGAATTAACTCTCCCATGTTTCCTCACGGGTCACCTTCTCGTGATCGTGCTCTGATACCAAATCTAGAATTCAAAATAGAGATTAAGAATACAAAGCTTTAAGAAAAGTAGAGATTAAGAACACAAAGCTTTAAGAATTACTCTCTTATTAATATGCTTTATAAAAATAACTCAAAAACTAAAGCTCACAAACTCTCTTCTCTCAAACTCTCTTTTCTCAAACTCTTAAACACATAAAACTCTCTTAATCTCTTAAGCTATATCACAACTCGATATATGCTTATATAGCCACAACCTCTAAACCTAATCATAACTCAATTAGGATTACATAATATTCTCTAGATAACTCCTAAAGAATTAGTCTTTATCTCTTCAATAAACCGACATCTTGCGGTTTAAGTAACCTCCGGTTTAAGCCTCTTTCAAGCTTAAACCAACATGTCTCCTTCTCTTTGATCCCTAAAATCCATTTTTTTTACATATTCTCCTCCATTCGATGCATGTCCCCCACTTTTTGGTGTTCACTTGTATCAGTTTTAATTGGGTGAGTTAAATTTTTGTTTTTTGAATGATAGGCTGCTAGATACAGTGATATTGATGATCTCAGAACATTGGCCTCTTATGGTGGCTCTCTTGACTCTCGTGATTCACAAGGCCGAACAAGTTCTTCTACATTCTCCTTTTGTTCTAAAGTTCCAATTTTTCCAGTCAATAGATAAGATTCTTAAACTCTTGCTCAGATACTTCCAATATGTAGTGAGTGAATTACTCATTCAGATATAGGAAAATTTGGAATAAATGATGCGTAAAAATTCTACCTTTGGCTCATTTCATCTGGTGAAATATTGGTTACTGTTTTCGTGTTTAGTAATATATGTTGGTGTTCTTACTCTTATCCTTGTATATTCGGATACTCAGATTAAGGAGTTTGAAATGTATGGTTAACTCTGTGAACATTGTTTCTTTCTATCTTTTGCTTGTCTTCACAAGCTGCATATGGCTGCGGCGAATGGACATATGACTATAGTGGAGTATCTTATCAGTGAAGGGTGGTAAAAAACAACAACTCTTGCTAATTTTTATGCCTTGACGATGTAATTTCCGGTCTTCTATCGATTGAATATGAATAAAGAGAGATTATTGTGGCTTTGTTTTGGTGAGAAGGGTATTAATGCTCTTAACGATGAGAACAATGCTCCTCTACATTGGGCATGCTTGAATGGCCATGTCGAGGTAACTATCACTGTTGTCCTTGCTTCAAGATGTTTTGTTTCTCCGGTTTATCTAAGTGGAAAGCTACTTACAGGTGGTGAAGAGATTGATCTTGGCTGGAGCCATCAAAGTCTTTTGAATCGATTTGTCTCTTGAATCTTTCTTCCCAGTCTATTAGAGGAACTAAGCTTAACTATTAGAAGCTTGAAAATTTATAGGTGTGAGCGGACTCCAATGGATGAAACTATTGGTGCAGAGAAGATAGAGACTATAGATGCTATTAACACAACTGTTGCACAAATAGAACTTGAAAATATTAGGGTGACATGACTTTTCCAGACATCTCCCCCTCGGCATCGTAAATGTTCTCTCTCTCTCTGATTTACAAGTGAGCTTTTGTATTGTGAGATTGTTATATAGAAAAAGGTGTGTTTGCTGTTTTTTTCAAAACGTTGCTTTTGTGTGTCTGATGATGTTCTGAGACGTCAAGCTTTAATGCTTTATAGTATTTATAGGCTCATAAATTAGGTCACAAATCTCTTGAACGTCAAGCATAATATATTCGATACCGTAACTAATATGGAATCAAATCTATGAAATCGTTTTGTATTTAGGAATACGCTACCATTTTGATTTTGAAGAGTCATAAATCTCGGAAAAGGTATGTGGAAGTAATTAGTTGGGATCACAGCTTATAGAAGAGATTTTAGAAAGTTTGAGCCATAATTATGTTTTAAGAATATTTGATTGCAGAATATAGAGAGAATATAGATGAGATATGGTATGTGAAAGTAATTAGTTTAGATGGTATAAATATTCGAAAATCATCTCGAGATTGTTTCGGAATAGAGCAGATTAATATGAGAATAAGTTAAGAAAACAGAGTTAAATGGGTAATTAAAGTGATAAGGTCGGTTTTATCCAGGATCCGGATACGTTTAAACCGGGTCAAAACCCGACTCAAACGAATTAAAAACCAAAAATGTATATGTAGATTTTATTTTCCCAATATACCAAATTTTATTTATGTAAAACTATTATTCAACGAAAATAAATTGGAAATAAAATCTTATAATTGAGTTCCTATTTCTAATTTAGAGTATATATTTCAACCATTTAAAAGAGATTTTGATTCGTTTTAATATGGTATTTTTGGAACAAAAACATAAAAATGTGGTATTTAAGAGAATTCTCCTTTAATTTTAGGCGATTTTGACATTGTTTTAAATCGCTCATAGAGTTAAAAATATTTTTATATTAAATTTGTTTTATTTTTGTCACTTTAGAGATGATGTGCTAAATTTGGAGACAAAACTTATTTTTGTGCTATTTGTGAGAAAGTATGAAAAATTTATGAAGTATGAAAAAGTCTTTTTCAAAGATTTTATATAAATTTTTTTTATGAAAGTGGGATAGTTACCTTTCAGAAAATTCTAATATCTAATAACAGTGGACATGCTTTTTTTTTAAGTTAGGAGAAAAGATAAAACTTATTATATTAATTAATATATTAATTAAATCAAAATGAAAGTTTGAAACTCATGTAATTACTCTCTTTTGTTTAATCCAAGAAAAACAAAATATATACTCCCTCCGTTTTAAATTAGTTGTCGTTTTAGAAGTTAAATTTTGTTTTAAATTAGTTGTCGTTTTTAGTTTTCAATGCAGATGTTTGACATATTTTCCAATTTTACTCTTATTCTTTAAGTTTATTTTATTAACAATATCAAATAAAACAATACATTAATTAGGGGTAAAACAAAAAAAATTGAAGGTTTTCTTAATACGCGTCAAAAAACTTTAAACGACAACTAATTTAAAACGGAAAGAGTATAAGAAATCTCATTCAATTAGAAATTCAATTAGATATAAAGTTCAAAGTAGGTTAAAGTTAAAAAACTGGTACACCAAAACAAAAGAGTTGGCTGCCGAGCCGTATGAGGTAGGAAACTCTCAAGTACGGTTCTCACGGAGGGAAGTATATTATCGACCTATCAAGTGCACTCGTCTTCATCAAGTGCAGTCTCATAGCCTTGATTCTGAATAGCCGAGAATGGAGTAGAGTCATCTGAAAGTCGCACACCGCATCTTTTAAGTTTGAGTCTCTCATTAGGGAGAAGAAATTTTATCTGAACTTGATCGCAGTCTAGGTTTAGAGGGAAACGACAATCAAAAATTATTTGATGATTATATTTCTGATGGACGGATAGATCTTTTCGTTCAGCAGGCTCAAAGTAGTTCCCGTGCTTGTCTATAAAATGACAATGTACCTCAATGTCCATAAAGCAAAGCTTCTTGACGACGGCTTCAGATCCCACGACAAGATCAGAAACCACGACGCAAGCCTTGAAGTCCAAGAATGGTTGTTGAGAGAGAGAAGAATGATGTAGAGGGATGGTAAGGGAGTTTCCCGTAGATCGGTGAGTAAAATATGGAGGCACTTCACCTGGTAAGATCATATAGTTGGAAGCTGATTGGTGAATAAAGATTTCTTGATTTATGTAGAAGCAATTGGTGAAACTGATCACTGACAACTTGGTGTCTTCTGCTTTCTCAGACCATTTTACTTCACCCAATTTCTTGCAATCTGAGAAGAAAACCTCGTCAAGATCCTTGAGTTCGAAAAGTCCTGGTGAGATCCATTTTAGCTCTTTGCATCCCATCATTTCCAGGGCTTCAAGGCTAGAGAAGTTATTGATATGCGAAGGGACTTCTTCGATCGCTGTCTGGTTTAAAAAGAGAAACGTGATGTTGTTTGAGATATCTGGGAAACCTCTCAACTGCGAGCATCCATTGAGATTGAGGCGATACAGAGATTTCAGGTTGATGCCTATTGGAAGAGTCTCTAGACTTGAGCATCCTATCATATCCAAGGACGTTAGTTTATTAAGATTCTGAATAGTGGAAAGAGTTAGCTCCACCAAACTCGAGCAATTATTGAGGTTAAGTGTCTCAAGACTTGTTGCCATTGAAAGATTGGGGAGTTCTTTCAGGTTTTCAGATCCCAACAACTTTATTGTTTTCAGATTTGTAAGAGGCTGAATTAAAAAAAAAAAAATGACAGTTTAGAAAATGCCGTAGACATCACGTATATCATTTTAATTTCCTTATTAACAAGCAACTAATTAAGGTAGGTTTAAGGTATATTTAGAAAAGCTTTTAGTCTTTGAAAGATATAACGTTTAATATATATTTGATATATTTAAAAAATTAGTAATTGAAAAGTTTTAGCAAATAATTCATACCTGAACTCCTTCCCACAACCTCTCACTCATTGTATGCTCCAGGCTAAGTTCAACTAGATTCTCTAGACGCAGTTGAGAAGGGAATATTTCGAAGGCAGTCTTGTTTATAATAAGCTCTGAGATTTTGTTAGAGATATCAGGGAAAATCTTCAACCGTGAGCATCCAGCAAGATTGAGGTGGATAAGAGATTCCAGTTTGCCAGTTGGAAGAGCCTCCAGATTTGTGCATCCAGCCATGTTCAAATCCGTCAGTTTATTGAGATTCAGAATAGAGGAAGGAAGCTCCACCAAGCTTGAACAACCGTTAAGATTCAGCGTCTCAAGATTGGTCGCCTTTGAAAGATCTGGGATTTCTTTCAGGTTTAGCGATCCCGACAAATCCATATCCTTGAGGAATTTAAGTGACTGAACCAAAATAAACAGAAAAATTATACTTAGAAACGTACTAATCTATACTAGTATTTTTGCAACACGTTGGTGACGGGTGGGTAAAAATGCTTCCGGATATATCGGATACCCGATCCGTTTTTAAAATTCCTTCACAAAAAAATTGTTAGGTCGGGTTATATTTAACCCAACTCATACACCGGATATTCCATATTTAATAATTTAGATATTTAGAAGATTTGATTAAGATTTATAATTATGATTCTCCTATCATCTTTGTTTGATTTGTTTTTAACTGGTTTGAACCATCATATAAGTAAAAAAAAAAATCAATTTTTTTTTGCATATACTGTGATTCGAAATTTTAAAAACGGACATATATTATCCAATTGACGAAAATGTGTGTTCAACGTTCTACATCGATTAAAATATTTAGACAATGATTAAGAATCATATCATAAATAAGAACATTAATAAAATAAATGAGTTTTTTGGCCGGACGGGTTTGGCGGGACGGGTTTTTGAATCAACAATAATAAAAAAATTAAAATATCATTAATCCGCCGCTTCAATACGGATTAAATTCTTTTTTTTTTAATACCACAAATATTAAACATATTAAATCAGTCTCATTTAGAAAAGATTGTATAAAATCAAAAATTGTCCCTTGGTATAATGTTACTTAATAACAATATTTATAAAATTTTAAAATATCATTAACATGCCGCTTTAATACATATTAAATCTTATTATAAAATATCATTAATCCGTATTTAAAGCGGCATGTTAATGATATTTTAAATTTTATAAATAACAATTGTAAACTATAATATAAATAAATATGTTATTAGAAAATACAATTTACAAAATATTTTTATACTAACTTTAAAATTAAATCTACACCGCGGGTTAAAATCTAGAGAAATTGTTAAAAATGCCCTTTTTTCAATACCCCTTTTCAAAAATGCCCCCTTTGAGAGTCTATTTTTAAGTTTGCCCTCTTTTAAGTTTTAATGACCATTTTACCCTTATTTGAAATAAAATTAGGTCCACAAAATACAAAATATTTTTTGGCAGGAAAAGTGATCCCGCAATTTTCTCGCCAAAACACTTGTAAAAAACCTTTAAAATACCTTGTAAAATTTTCCCGTAAAAAATTTTCCCGCCAAAAATTTTTTTTTGCGGGAAAAGTGATTCCGCAAATTTTTTGGCGAAATTTTTTTGGCGGGAAAATTTTTGGCGGGAAAAATTTACAAGGTATTTTAAAGGTTTTACGAAGTATTTACAAGTGTTTTGTAAGGTTTTACAATGTATTTTAAAAGGTTTTACAAGGTACTTATAAAGTTTTATAAGGAATTTATAACTTGTAAAAAACTTGTAAAACCTTATAAAAAACTTGTAAAATCTTATAACTTGTAAAAGCTTATAAAATAGCTTGTAAATCTTATAATATCTTATAAATACCTTATAAATACGTTGTAAAACCTTTTAAAATACATTGTAAAACCTTATAAATACCCTGTAAAAAACCTTTAAAATACCTTGTAAATTTTTCCCGCCAAAAATTTAACGCCAAAAAAATTACGGAATCATTTTTCCCGCAAAAAATTTTTTTTTGCGAGAAAATTTTTTGGCGGGAAAAAATTTTACGGGCAAATTTTACAAGGTATTTTAAAGGTTTTTTAAAAAAAAATTGGCGGGAAAAATTGAGGGATCACTTTTCCCGCCAAAAAATATTTTATATTTTGTGGACCTAATTTTGTTATATTTCCTTATATATTTGTGATATCTTTTATTAAAAGAATGGTAATTTAGTCATTTTGTACATAAAAAAAGGTATTTTTAAAAATGGACAGCCAAAAAGGGCATTTTTGAAAAGGAGTATTAAAAAGGGGCATTTTTGTGAGTCTCCCTAAAATCTAGTCAATTAGTAAAAGGATTTCCATCTAAGAGAAATGAAAAAAAAAAAAAAAAAAAAAACCATTATCGAGTATTAATTTATAGAGGTTTAACTGTACTGTCAATCCTCTAATCAATTTAACTAAGCACACTATGCTTAACGATTTCACTACTTACCTTATCTCCTTCCCATAGTTTCTCAAGTATCTTGCTATTGGGCATCCTGAGTTCAACCAGCTTATCAGGACGAAATTCAGCAGGCAATTGTTTCATCGGATATCCCGGCCAATTTAGTAACTTGAGTTTAGGAGGAAAAGCATCAATTTTTTTGGGTAAATTCCATTCAACTTCCTTTTCCCGCTCCCATGAATTTATATGGAACCTTAGAAAACGGAGATTGTGCATATTTTTGAACGCTTTCTTGTGTATCTCCAACTCATCAATCTCATTTAAATCCAATGATATACCTATAACTTTATTAGTACCCTGAAAATATACGAATCATTATATTAACAAGAACCTTTTAAATTTTATACAGAAAATTACGGGAGGAGAAAACCAAAATCTTACATTGGTACCTCCAAGTACATTGCAGACATCATCTGAATCAAATAGGAATTCTCGTTCTCCAGGCTCTTCGGACTGTGCACGGACAAGTTGCTTTCCCATTTCTTGTACCAAACAGTGCATATCTACGGTACACGTATTGTTCCACGATGATTTGCTACTTATGAGGGACTTCTCAACTAGGTGTCTAACACCTGTTTCAACATCCAACTCTGGGAGCATCAATTTGATGTTATCGATTTCCGCCCCATTGAAAAAACAAGCGATGTGACGAAATATCGCTCTATGTTTTTGGATATCTATCTTATCGTAGCTGACTTTAAGTGTTTTTCCAATATCCCCATTCTGATTTTTTTGAAGACTCAGCAATTCACCCTTCCATTCCTCTACCTTCCGATTTTTCATAACTTTACCTAGAATCTTAAGACCTAAAGGAAGACCACCAGCACGTGCTGCAACTTCCGTAGCGAGCTCCACAAAACCATCATCCGGAGATTTCTGCCCAAAAGCTGAGTGACAGAACATCTCAAGAGCTTGCTTTTCAGATGGGAAACCAACCTCATATATATGATTTATCCCATGGGCTTCTAGAAGACGCTTATCTTTTGTAATCACAATGATTCTGCTCCCACATCCAAACCATTCATCTTTACCTACCAAGGTATCTAACACCATTTGATCATCCAAATCATCAAGAACGATAAGAACTTTCTGGTGCTTTAGCCTCTCTTCTATTACACCTAAATGTTCTACCTCTATGTCCTTTTGGTCTAATATTTTAGAAAGGAAACTTTTTTGCAAGCACAACTTCATGTTATAGTCATCTGGATTGCCTTTTCTATAATTTTTAGTACTCTTAGATACGAAATGTATGTCTAAGAAAACACAAACATCGAAAACATGAGAATGTTGACTATATAAAGCTCTTGCAATGGTTGTTTTGCCAATTCCTGAGGGACCCCATATCCCAACCCTTCTCACTTCCTTAGATTCAAATTTCAAGTCCAAAATTAAACTTATCTTTGCTATATGATCTTCAATCCCAACAGTATCCTCAAAATCCTTTGATGGAGTTAGAATCACTGTACCCAAAAGATCATTGACGATATATTCAATCTGCTTTGCTTCATTATCCCTAACAAAAGGAGAAATATGTTCAAACTCGTGAAATCTTTTTTTGCTGCTAAAACTGTAAGTCTGTAATATATAGTGTTTTAATTACCACGAAAATTCATAAAATTCACGTTTTTTTCACCGAAAAAATTTCTTTATAACGTTTTTATTTCAAAATTTAAAGTAGTGAAAGTAATTGAATTTTATCTTCTAAAAATTAGATAATAAAAAACGAACATCTAGATTAAACATCCACATGGAACAAGCGAAGAGTATCGTTAAAGTCGTACCAATTTTGAAGATGTGTTCCGACCATATTTGCTACTTCGGTCAACGCTTTCTTCCACTGATTTTTCACTTCCTCTGAATGTCTCCTGCAAGTCTTTTCAAAGATACTTCCAAAGTCACCGATTTGATGCCTCACATGGGAAGGATCCACACCGTGGAAAATGGGAATCACAAGTTGGCCAATTTCTTTCTTGCATTTCACAATCTCCAGCAGCTCGTTTAGACACCAGCCAGAAGAGGCGTAGTTTTTAGAGAATAAAACCACCGCGATCTTCGAACCCCTAATGGCCTGTGTAAGCACGGGATCGAGCGATTCACCTTTCTCGATCTCCATGTCATTGAAAGTTCTGATCAATTTACGATCGAGCTCCTTTCGAAAGTGGGCGAGGAAGTTATGGCGGAGATCGTCCCCTCTGAAGCTAATGAAGACATCATATTGCCAAATGCGAGACATGAAGAAAAAAAGAAAAGAGAAAATCGAAAGAAAGCAATGAAGAAACTGAGAAGAAAACAACGATCATGCAGAATCTAAAAAGGCACTCGCCGTCGGTGTGATAAAAGAGAACAGAGGAGTAAAAAAGTGTTTTTTTTTTTTTTTTCCTTTTAAAAGAAAGCAACTGAAGAAACGGAGAAGAAGAAAACAACGATCTAATGCAGGATCTGAAAAGAAACTCGCGCTGTGATAACAGAAGAGTGAAAGTGTTTTTTTGTTCTTCGATAACTAAAGAGTGAAAAAAGCTTTTTTGTTTTTGATAATTAAAGAGTGGAATGTTTAGGAGTATTTTTCTTTTGATTTTTTTTGCGAAAAGGGATTAACTAGCAAACAAGAACTGAAAGTCGACAGAAGTTCTCTCCTCTTCCTTTAGAAAAGAATGTACTTAATCCGATGAATCTTATCTAAGATATGCAAGGAAACAGACACGACCCATAATCAGACTTAACTTATAAGAGAGAGAGATATAGGGAATAAGGGATAAGAGACAAAGCGTCTGGGTTTTGCTTAATATATACAGTAATTTAACTTTTTGTTTTGTTAACTTTTAGTTATAATTTAAACCACAGTCAACTTACTATTAATCAGGCTTAACTTTTTTTTTTTTTTTTTTTTGTGCACCAATCAGGCTTAACTTATAAGTTACAATATAGTTGCCAACATGTCTGTCTACATTATGAACCTAGGAAGTAGCGCCGGCCTCTACTGGTTTTATAATTTGCGGAAAAATTATTTCCGGATTTTCAGTCAACGAAATAGTATTCTGTATTTTTCGTGTGTGTATTATTTATGAAGTCTTTCAAATTTTTAAACGTTCACAAAACTTAACAATGTGTATTGTAAGTTTATATGAAAATTTGCAAAACAAATCTAAAAGTTTAGACATTTTTAGATTTTTCTTAAAGTTTCTGTTACCATCTACATGATACCGAAAACCAAAATTCATCAACAAGTGCTCACCATATCGGGATGAAGAGTCTAGGGGCGTTGCATTCAAAATCTTACAGAAATTAGTTTCTTAATAGAAATGGTATATTGATTAACTAGCAATATTAAAAACTTAAAGATCTAACCTGAATGAAAGGAAATTTCATTTAAGATTATAATATTCATCTATACTAGTATTTTTGTAACACTTTGGTGACGGGTGGATAAAAAGGCTTCTGGGTTAATCGGATATCCGACCCGTTTTTTAAATTCCTTCACAAAAAAATACTTGGATCGGGTTAAATAAAACCCAACTCATACACTGTGGAAGTCGAAACTAACACAATCAAGATTTGTCTAGGGTTTTATTTTAGGGATACAATGAGCGTGAATTCTCATAGAACAACAGAAACAATTGTAACCAAAGATGGTGTTCTTGATCTTATTGATGAAAAAGAATAGCTTTGATCGTACAAGAGTTTGATCGTAACAGAAAAAGGTGTTTGTGCTGTAAGAGCTTTGCGTAGTGTAAATTCTAGAGCGATATTGCCTGGCCTTCTTCGAGAGCCTTGAGTCTCTTTATATAGGGGTGATAAACCGCCTCTCCAGCGATATTCTCGGAAGATTTCCATTTATCTTGAAGTCGGCTTAGAGTATCGCGGATTAGGATAGTTTCCTTATTCTTCGGAGTTTTTTGGAAGATTTCCTGATTTGAGTTGATCCTTCGAGATTCTTCCTTATCATTTCCGGGTCTATCGGAAATGATCCTTCTTTTTCGGAAATGACGCCTTGCTTGGAAATGATACTTCTGAAGGCAAATGTTTTCAAAGTCCTTGCCTTGGGTGATGATGAAAACTTCGCCTCGGATAACTTGTGCAATCGGCTCGGAGAAAACAGAAGCGCGGCCCGGGCTTCCGAGGGAAATCGGCTCGGGCACACGGAAGTAGCCAGCTCGGGCGTCCTGGCACGAACCGGCTCGGGTACCCAGAGTGAACCGGCTCGGGCGCTCGAAGAGAGCCGGCTCGGGTTCACAAGCTTGCTGGCAGATCTCGAGCAGGCTACGGGAGTTCCCCGAAGCGACCGGTGTATTGACCCGAGGTGAATGGCACTTTGCACCGAGGTGAATGGCTTGCTTCCTCCGAAGTGGTTGGTACGCTTCCCCGAGGTGTCTTCAGAAGTTCCCTGAGGCGTCCAAATCCGGCTCGGTGCTAAGGGATGGAATCCGACCCCAACATACACCGGATATTCTATATTTAATAATTTAGATATTTAGAAGATTTGATTAAGATTTAGAATTATGATTCTCCTATCATCTTTGTTTGATTTGTTTTTAACTATTTTGAATCATCATATAATACATAAGTAAAAAATAAAATCAATTTTTTTCTTCTGCATATACTGTGATTCGAAATTTTAAAAACGGACATATATTATCCAATTGACGAAAATGTGTGTTCAACGTTCTACATCGATTAAAATATTTAGACAATGATTCAGAATTATATCATAAATAAGATCAACACTAATAAAATAAATGAGTTTTTTGGCGGAACGGGTTTTTGAATCAACAATAATAAAAATATTAAAATATCATTAATCCGCCGCTTCAATACGGATTAAATCCTCAATTTTTTAATATCACCAATATTAGACATATTAAATCAATCTCATTTAGAAAAGATTGTATAAAACAAAAAATTGTCATGTGGTATAATGTTACTTAATGACTATTGTAAACTATAAAATATAAATATCTTAAAAAATTATAAAATTTGCAAACTTTTATATATAATAAATAATCGTTAAATTTTAAAAATTACTACTTTTAGAAAACAAATCACGGGACGGGTTAAGAAGTTACAGGACGAGTTATATTTCGGAACTAAGTTATATGGTGGACGAGTTTGAATCAATATTTATAAAATTTTAAAATATCATTAACATGCCGCTTTAATACAGATTAAATCTTCAGTTTATTAAAATATAAATGTCTTAGAGAATGATATGATTTGTAAGCTTTTATATATAATAAATAATCATTAATTTTAAAATAAAAATAAATCACGGGACGGGTTAAGAAATTACGGAACGAGTTATATTTTGGAACAGGTTTATATGGCGGACAAATTTGAATCAATATTTATAAATATCATTAACATGCCTCTTTAATACGGGTTAAATCCTCAGTTTATTAACAATTGTCTCGTGGACTCGTGGTATACCGTTATTTAATAACAATTGTAAACTATAATATAAATAAATATTTTATAAGGAGATACAATTTACAAAATATTCTTATACTAACTTTAAAAATAAATCATCCTGCGGGTTAAAATCTAGTTCATTTGTTAAAAAAATAATCTTCATCCAATTTGTCAACTATTTATAACGTAACATAAACATAATTCTCTGTGTAAAAATAATTAACTACGTACATTAAAATATGAAATAATATGTCATGACTAACTTAAGAGTTTTTAAAAATAGATAACTACATCATGAACAATTGAACAGTCATTGTGTCTTCTAATAACTATTATGCGAATGTTAATAACTCAAATGAATTTGAAAGTTATGTAAATGTATGGCCAAAATAGACAATTATGGCAAACGACATTCATTTTTTAACTTTAATATATCGACATTTATTTTTGGAATTTGGAGGATGAAGTTCTGAAGATTCTCAACGCTTACAACAAACCTAAGAAAGCTAAGTGTGTTCTTACTTCTAATTCAGAAAAAGTTAAGTTTGCTCTTCCTTCTAAATTTGAGAAAGATACGTGTGATCTTTTTGAGAAACCTGATTTTGTGCTTAAAAATGATCAACCTTGTGACAAACTAATCCTTTCCAAGCCGTTGCAAGCGAGTAGTACTTTTTGTTTTTCACAGGTTCTTGAAGAAAAATCTCATGAAGAAGAATCACCTAATGAAACGCAAAGGTGTTTGCCTTTGATTAGTCACTTCGAGCAGCCACCCCACTTTGTGCCAAAATCAGTTCTTATGCCATTTCCTTGCGATTACCCAAGAAAGCACTGTAAGGAAATTGATTTGGTTAAAACTAAACCTAATTTGTTTATGTTGGTTTCTGCTCAAGATGAAAAATGTTTTGTTTTTGAAAATGTGAAGGAGTTTTGTGTTTCAAAATCTGTTTTTGATAAAATGATTCCAAATTTTGAAGCATTTACACTTGAAGAGTTCTTTAAGCAAAAAGGTTTTCTGTTTGATGACTTTCATGAATTTAACTCTTCTTTGAGAATTTCTTTGTGTAGCAATGCATTTGAGCTGTTTAAAAGTAAAGATGAATATGCAATGGTTAAAGCACTCTATGAATTGAAACATGTGCTTAAAAACGTGTCATGTGATTCAAATCCGTTCATTGAGCTTTGCAACCCAATTGTTAATGATCATATTCTTGAATTCTCTATTTCAAGTATAATGCATTTGTTCTGTCCCATGAGTGCTCAAAAAGGAACATGAGCTATGGAGAAGTATAAGTACTTAGGAGAAGTGACGTCAAGGAATATATAATAAATATTCTTAGTTGAGAATATATATATTTTTAGATTTTATTAAATATTTTTGTTTTAAAATTTTGCCAACATTTAAGGGAAGATCCGATTGAAGATTTCCGGGTCAAAATTGAAACAAAATTCGATCCGATTAGGATCCCTTAAAAGTGTTGCAAAAATGTATAGTAGATACCTCTGTGCAGATACATATTTCAACTAAGCAAAAATTTATATTTATTGCCTAATCTTACTATTTTGCGCAAAAACATACATATCCCGAAATGTCGTTAACATTCCGTCTATTATACCTTACGTGGATACCATGTAATTAATGATATTGTTTAAACTTTAATCAGAACACCTAAGATTTGAGATAAAACGATATTGTTTTGTTCTTACTTTATAAACGACGTTGTTTTGTTCTTACTATATAAACAACGTCGTTTTGCTCTGTGCCATCATTTATTTACTTCTCCTTTGTCTTCCTCTCTACTGGAATCACTATTTGGAGATTCTCTAAAGTGTAGGATTCTTTAATGGCTTGAGCAACTGAAATTCTAACATGAACAAGTTGATGATGTAATTGTAGAACTCTAGATTTCTGAAAATCTCCAGATTGTGGTTTCTGTTGAGAGGAAGAAGAAGAAGAAATAAACAAATGTTAGAGACGTCGTTTTGTCTCAAATTTTAGGTGTTTTGATTAAGATTTAATTGACATTAGCATCTACGTAAGCTACAGTAGGCATAATGCTAACCACATCTCGGGATATGCATGTTTTTGTACACAACGGAAAGATTAGGTAGTGCATTTAAATTTTTGCTTAGTTCGGTTATGTATCTGAAGAGATTTATAGTTAAGGTATGGATTGAACATATCTATTGAGTTGAGGTATGAAAAGCCGTTCTTCCGTTATTTTAATATAGATATTTTCTACATTTTTGTTCTACTTTAATGTCTGAAATCCGAGTCTTTCCTTACAATTTACAATAGTTTAAGGTAGATATTT